TAACGAGGGCGCACGAGGGCGCTACGAGGCTAGGGCACGGGGTAGCGTGGTAACCGCATGCGAGCGGTGGTGGGCCCTTAAAAAAAAAACGGTCGGTAGGTCCTAGGGACCTCCTGCTCTGAATACCATGTCAGAATCACTAGGCAAGAATGGTGCATTGAATGAAACAGTTGGGTACAAGTAGCAAACCCTAGTTGGGGTTGTACCCCATATTGGCTACCCCACTACAGCCTACAAGCATAATACAGTTTAACATCTTCCCACCTGCGGATATCTGGGCAGTTGGTGCGAATCAGTTGCTCCATGGTCTGATTTGTCCGTTCCGTCTGTCCGTCGGTTTGCGGGTGGTATGACGACGAAAACTGCAGGCGGGTACCGTACTGTGCCCACGTCTCCTGCCAGAACTTCGACGTAAATTTCGGGTCTCGATCGCTGATGATCGCCGAAGGTAACCCGTGTAGGCGTACGACGGTGGAGATGAACAGTTTGGCTGTATCTTCGGCTGTGATCGTCGTTCGGCATGGGGCGAAATGCGCCATTTTCGTTAGGCGATCGACGACGACCAGCACCGAGTCGTTGCCACTCGCGCCAGCTGGCAGCCCCGTGACGAAATCCATCGTCACCTGTTGCCACGGTCGTTCGGGTGGCTCGAGGGGTTGCAGTAGTCCGGCTGGCCTTTGTCGCGACGACTTCATTGCTTGGCAGGTCGGGCAAGTTGACACGTAGCGCTGCACATCGGTGAACATGTCCGGCCAGTAATAATTCCGCTGCAGCAGCTTCAGTGTTTTGTCGGTGCCGAAATGCCCGGAAAGGTTGGAGTCGTGAACCTCCTGCGTCAGCAGCTCCCGTAAAGGCTGGTATGCTGGTACCCAAATCCGGTTCGTACCGGCTTTTAGGTAGTACTTGCCGTGCGGTGTAGCAGCCTATTGTTGCGGGTTCCGAAAAAAACCTGTCGATCTTGTACCCATGGGTGAATAGTCCCGTCAGCATCGGGTTGGTGTGGGCGATTAGGACCGCTGCATTCTGCATAGATGGCCGGGTGAGGGCGTCGGCGATGTTGTTGGCGCCCTTTTTGTACGTGATGGTGTACCGAAAATTGGACTCGAGGAAGTCCAACCACCGGATTTGTCGCGGGTTGAGTGTCGGTTGCGTGCGCATGTACTGTAGTGATTTGTGGTCGGTCCGAATGGTCACGTCGGCTCCCGTGAGGTAGCAGCGCCAGACGCGGAATGCATGGACGATGGCCAGCATCTCCTTGTCGTGGACTGGGTAGTTGCGCTCGGGTGGCTGCATCTTGCGTGACTCGTAGGCGATGGGTTGCAGCCCTTGGCCGAAGTCCTGTAGCAGGACGGCGCCGACGGCGAAATCGCTGGCGTCCGTGACGACTTCGAACGGTCGAGATGGGTCGGCGAGGCGGAGTACCGGGGGTGACTTCAAAATGTTTTTGAGGGCGTCGAAGGCGGACTGCTCCCTCTCCCCCCACCGAAAATCGTTGTCGTGATGCAGCAGGTCGGTCAGCGGCTTGGTTATCCCTGCCATATTAGGTACAAAACGACGAACGTAGTTAATTAACCCCAAAAAACTTTGCAACTCAGGGATATTAGTAGGTGGCTTCCACTTAGCTATGGCGTCCACCTTGCGTGGGTCAATTTTAATCCCCTCGCAGGAAACCACGTGCCCCAAAAATTCAACTCCGGCTTTAGGAACTCGCACTTAGACCCCTTCGTAATCAGCCGATGCCCCTGTAAACGCCGGAACACCTCCTCTAAATCCCGCAGATAATCTTCTTTTGTTGCGCTGTACACCAGGATGTCGTCCAGATACACGATGACTTTCTTGTCCAGCATGTCCCGAAAAATCCCGTTCATGGTGAGCTGGAACGTCGAGGGCGCGTTTGTCAGACCGAACGGCATCACTGTGAACTCGTAACTGCCGTAGCGGGTGCGAAAAGCGGTCTTCGGGCAGTCGTCGGCGAACACGCGAATTTGATGGTAGCCTCCTCGCAGGTCGATTTTCGAAAAATACCGAGCTCCGCGAAGTTGATCCAGCAGATCGTCGGTTCGCGGGATCGGGTAACGCGACTTTATCGTGACCCGATTCAGCGCCCGATAATCAATGCACATGCGTAGGCCCCCGTCCTTCTTCGGCGTGAACAGTATCGGCGCTGCATACGGCGACGTGCTTGGGCGGATGAATCCCTTGGCTAGCAGGTAATCCAGCTGGGCCCGCAACTCGGCGAGCTCTGGTTGGCTGAGCCGCCACTGTGTTCGAACAGTGGGTTGCGCTCCTGGCTCCAGCTGGATCCGATGATCCTCAGGTCGTTGGGGGGGCAAGCCATTCGGTAGGTCATCCGCGAAAATTTCGGGATACTTCCGAATGATGCTCGCCAATTCCTCGGGGACTGCCGCGCAGAGGGTGTCGATGTCCGCGATTTTCTCGGAAGCTGCCACCTCGTACAGGTGCACCAAGAAGGCTTGAGCTCCACTGTTCAACGCACGCTGCATGTTGATCGCGTTAACGCGTGTCGTCACCGGCTCCGGCTCCGTCCATTTCGGAAGCGTCGTCTTCCCTCCGTATCCTCGCACGACGCACGCCCTAGTCGTCTAGTCGATCGTCGGATTGAAGCGTTGCAGCCAATCCCGCCCCAGCAGCACATCGCAGCCGTCCAACGTCGTCGCCAAACCCGAATTTTTCGCCGCACTGTATCCGAATTTTTCGCGCTTCATCTCGGATGGCCAGCGGTGTCCCGTCCACCAGTCTGGCATCGATCTCCGGCAGACACCTGGTCAGCTTCACCCCAATTTTTTTGGCCGTTGCCAGGTTGACGAGACTGTGGCTCGCCCCACCGTCAACGAATATTTTTATTTTATAACCGTTAACCCTCCCCACCACCAGCACAGGGTAGTCCACGTGTTCACCCACGTTATTCGTCCGGTTCTGGTCGATAGCTCTGATCGGTACCACGACCCGGTGTGGATGGTGATTGTCGGGCGACAGGGTCTCGTCAGTAGGTGGCCCTTCTGCTACTGACTCACATCTTTTCCCGACCCTTCTCCGTCGTTCTTCTTCCCCTGCTTAAGCCTCGGGCAGTCTTTCTTCAGGTGGCCCAGCTGGTTGCATTGAAAGCACGGCCCAAGGGCTCGGCTCGGTGCATCCACGCCGTTGATCGTGGGCTGCTGGGTCGATCCACGAAATCGAGGGCCCTCCCGGGAGCTCGATCTCGCCCACTGCATCAGCGCATCCGTTGACTCGGCTTCCCGGACGGCGTCGTTGAATGTGCGTGGCCGGGTTCGTCGGACCTCGTACTGTATCTCGTATTTCAGGCCCGCCACGTAGCGATCCAACCGCTCCGCATCGCTCATGTCGTCCACTTGGTCCGCCAAGTTGCAGAATTTGCTGGTGTAGTCTTGGACCGAAGCCAACTGCTTCCAGGTACGCAGCTGCATGCGAGCAGAATCCGAGGCGGATATGTGCTCGAATCTGGTTCGCAAGGCGGCGCCCCACTCCTTCCATGTGCGTATCGTGGCCGTCCCGAAAATCGATGTTGCCCGATGCGTGACAGGTGTTGAAGTCCCGTCGTTCGCACGTGCTGTTCCTGCCGAAGTCCCTTCGTGTTGCAGCGTTCGCCTCCACCACTCCAGCGCAGGCCCTCGCAACAGTGAAACTGCGAAATTAATGCGGGTGGCATCGTCATAAATCATGGCAGCATTAAAAAACACCTCCACGCCGAACAACCATGCAGAAACAGTGACGAACTTGTCACTTGGGTTAAACGGGGGCGGGTTTGTCGGCTTGATTTTCACGAAAGCTGTTGCTGCCATCGGGGCCGTCGGCATCGCTGCTGGTGTCGCCGTGGTTGTCCCTGCTGCACGTGTCGGCGCTGCACGCGACTGTTGCGGTGACTGTTGCTGCTGCGTCTGCCTCGCTTCATCCGCATCTATCTCGCCTTCCAACTCGTCCCAGAGCCGCTCCTCCGGTGCGGTGCTGCTACTTGCATCGTCTACGACTGGCGACTCCTGGCGCGCTTCACCACGCGCCTGGTGTAGTTCGGCGTTTTCCTTCTGGAGACGCTCCATTTCTGCAGCCATAGTCTGCATGGTGGCCTGCATCGTCCGGAACTGTTGCATGAACTCGTCTAACTCCGCCTGTTCCATGTGTCGCAGGCTTCGTCTAACGGGCAGGGGGTGGCTCGCGATTTTTCTGACCTGGTGAAGGCGTTAATGCTATCGTAGTCGGAGTGGAATAATCAGATCTATTCCACGGGCCGACCGCTTAACAGCCCACCAAGTCTATCGCTCCCCTTCTACAAACTACCCCGGAAACGCGAGGGTAACCTAGGACTTTAGGCTCTGATACCAAGTGTTATGAGTTGTGAACGAAAGAGTGCGCAGAATTCAATAACGCGGAAGTGATTACAACGTCTGAATGAATAGCGAGGCCTAGGCACAATATAGCAAGGCTAGCTAGGCCGAGGTCGCAGGGTCGCGAAATGGTTGGGTGCAGGTTCGGGGTTGGAAAACCCGAAGGCGACGCGGTAGTGGCTCGGAAGGCGAGGTCGGCGGGCCAAGCCTGGTTTTATGAAAGTCGGGGTTGTACGCGTACGGAGTGACCCAGTAAGGAATCCGAAAAATTCCTTACACTGTGACTGGGATGTGTACAGGAAGTGAGGGAAGCAGAGCAGGTTAGGGTTTCACCATCCATGGCTGCTGTCGGTATCCACACCGCATCCTCTCACTTAGCCAAGACTTGTCAACCAAGCTGCCCTTGGCGAGTCGACCACATCAAAGTCGGCTGTCCGCGCCTGCAGCATCAGTAGCGACAGCACCTCGGGGCGTGCGGCGCGCTGAACCACTTTTCTCTTTTCTTGCGCCCTCGTTGGCTTCTTTCACTTTTATTCTCTTTTGCTTCTTCCTCTTCTCCTTTTTACCTTTTTTATTTTTTACTTCAGCTCTTTTACGGTCCGCGCTCCAGCCTCTCCGCGCGCGCGAGCGCCGGCCGTCATGTCCTGGTTACTGAATTCGCTCGTCGGCAGTCCGCGAGCCGGCGACGACGACGACGACGACCTCGACGAGGAGAACGACGACGCTCTTCTTCCCGTCGCCGGCTCCTCCGGCAATCCCGACAGCCCCGACAGCGCAGCGCGCGACGCGGCGGCGGCGGCGGGGGTGCGCGACGACCTCACGGAGCTGCAGCAGTCGCTCACCAAGCACTGGCGCGGCGTCGCTTCCTTCCTCACGGGCGAACCCCGCTGGGCTCCCTCCGCTTCCCCGCCCGCCGCTTCCGCCTCCGCTTCCGCTTCCGCCACCGCCTCCGCCGACGACGCGGCGTCGCTAGATCCGCCTGCGCTGCTGTCGCCTGAGGAGACGGCGGGGCTGTCGCGCGACGAGGTACGCGCGCTGCGATGGCGGCAGGAGTTATCGCGGCAGGCGGAAAAGGACAAGGACAAGGAGAAAGGCAAAGCCGCCGCCGCCGCTGCTGCGCCGCCGCCAGGCCGCGGGGGTGCCGCGGAAGATGCGCAAGGGGCGGGTGAGGGGGAAGCGGAAGTGGAAGGGTCGGAGGAGGATGCGAGCGCGGGCCACGCGCGGCTGTCGGGGGTGCGCGAGGACTTGGCGGAGCTGTCGCAGCGCGTGAAGCGCGGGCTGACGTCCGTGATCCGCGTGGTGACGGGCGACGACGCCGCCGCCGGCGCCGGCAGGGGCGCGAGGGCAGGCGGACGAGGAAAAGCGCGGCGCGGCGAAGGAGGCGACGACAGCGATGGAGCGGAAGATGAGGAGGGAGGGAAGGAGGAGGAAGACGACGAGGAAGAGGAAAGGGACGAGGGCGAGGAGGATGAGGAGGAGGAGGACGCGGGCGAGACGCTGTTAGAGGCGGCGCAGGAGGACATTAAAGCCATCTCCAGCACCCTCGCCACCGGCATCACGGGCGTCGGCCGCCTCGCGTCGCGCCTCTTCGCCGCCACCGACGCGCAGCTCGGGCGCGCGGAGGGCTCCGGCGGCGACGGAGAGCGCGCGGAGGGCGCGGGCGCGGGGATGGCGGAGGGGGAGGAGTTCGGGGAGGCGGAGGTGGCGGTGGGCGTGACGGCGGACGTGGTGCAGTTCGCGCAGAACCTGTCGGGGCACCCCGAGACGTGGATCGAGTTCCCGCTGCCCGACGAGGAGGACGAGGAGGAAGGTGAGACCAACCCCCCCCTCTCCCCCCGCGCGCGCTCTCCATGCCCTCGCTTCCTGCGACCTTCCCTGCAACCCTCTTTGCGACCCTCTCTGCTCTGTTGCTTTTGTCTTTCCCTTCTCTCCCTTCTCTCCTGAGAGCCCTGTCGCTCGCCCGCCACTGTCGCACCCAGGCGCATCGCACACACATACACGGTGTGGGAAAACAACAGTCGGGAGTGTGCGGGAGAAACAAAGGCTTGAGGAGGGAAGTGTGCACACTGTATTGCCCGCGTGCGCTGTTTCTCGCGTGCTCGCATGCTCCGCGCTCGCTGCCTCGCTCAGCCCTCCCGCCCCTGCCCTGGCCCACTGTGGGTCCGCCCTCCCTCTTTCCATCTGTACCCCACCAGCAGCGCCTGCCTGCTTGCCACTCTTGTTTCACACCTCTCCGCACCGCACTGCACACACTCGTGCTCCTCTGCCCCACGCTTCCAGCTGCATGCCTCCCCTCCGCGGCACTGTCCGTGTGTCAGTATGCGCCGCTGTCTTCTACCGCCCCCTACCACTCCGTGCGACCTCCTATCTTGCACCACCGCCCCCCACAGCTCGGCGCGCGTCCGCATTCATTCTCCCCTCGCACGTTCCTGCATGACATTCCAAGTCCTCAGCCCACAGTCCGTACTACACCCAGGCCCACACGCTGAGAGCGTCTCGGAGCATGCACAGGCCGAGCAGTGGACTTTGCCTGTCCCCTCCCACGAAAACTGCGTCCTCCCACTCCTCTTCCTCCCTCTACCCCTCCACTTCCTCCCCCCGCCAACCCCCCCTTTCTCCCCTCTCCTACTCTGCCCCTCCACCGCCTCCCCCCTGTGCGCCAGACGTGTAAACCACTCCCCTGTGCATGACGAGCATGAAGTGGCGAAACCACTCCTTCTCTCCTCGCATTCACTCGTGCCCTCCCTCCTACCCTTCAACACCCCGTTTCTTTCCCCCCCCCCACTTCCCGACCTCTCAAAAGCTCCTCCCCATCAACCCTCCCCCTTCCCCCCTGCTCCTCCCTTCAGCTCCCCCGTCAAAAGCTCCTCCCGACCCTCCGTCCCCCTCCCCGCCTGCCCCTCCATGCCCCTCCGTCCCCCTCCCCAAGGTGGAAAAAAACGGTTGCGATAAAAAACGATTGAAAAGAACGATCGTTTTTTACGGTCAGGTTTGGGAAAAAAACGTCGTTTTTTTGTTAGACCCAAATTTTATTTCACATGGTCCCACATGGCGGACCGTGCTCTAGGCATGGTGGGTGGAAAAAACGAGCCTACACTAACAAGAAAGGGCTAGAATGGACGTGGAGTGAAGACACTGTGGTGGCTACTAATAACAAGATGAGTTGACCGTTTATCTGCAAACGTCGAATAGCTTTTGCTGGTAGTATGCGTTCATGCCAGGCGTTGAATACTATCAGATAGAATGGGTGTGCTCCGCGATTGTCCAGCGGACAACGTGGCGCACACCACGAATTCCTAAATTGCATAGCGGGAAGTGATAGCGGATGAAGCCACGTCGCAAGTCACATCGCAATTGTCCAGCGCACTTGGAAAGTCACGTCGCAAACCCAAATGTGGGTTTCGCTGACGTGCAGCAACGGAAAATCATGTCGCAAATCGAAATGTAATTCTTCGCAGCGCTTCATTCCCACGTGCGCTAACGAGTTTGTGACGCGCGCGAAAAAAGCGAGAGCAAAATGCACGATGCGAAATATTTGGCACGTCGCGACCAACCCTATAAGGACAAGTTGACGCTCGCGACAAATTATTGCGGCTCTTGCGGTAAATTTGGGTGTACAACGTGGCAGGTCGCCTCGCACACCCAGACACTCAGCTTCGCGCATGCACGAATTTAGTTTCTGAAAGGCACGAATTGGCATCGTTGCTCTGCGAAATCAGCGAGAGCAGGGAAGCGAAGTGTTGGCATTGAGCGAAACCCAATTTCCGAACATCGCGCCTCGAACGTGGGTCTCATCTGAATCTGGCAATTGGTGCACGTGCAGATGGCTTGAAATTGTGTGCTGTGTTGGGCCCACGACTGCTGCGTGTTGGGTGGATTTGGCCGCTGGGTGGATTCACTAATCCTGCATGCCAGCAACCCTAACCCCACGAATTCTCCCGCTACCTCATCCGCGTTTGTTGCTTGCGTACACAGAGGAGTCCTAAACCGTGAATCGTGAATTATAAGGAAAGCATCGTTACAGTAAGTACTGGTACTAAAAAACGATCGAAAAAAACGATCGTTTTTTTGCACCAAAAAAATAAACACAAATTCATCGTTTTATTCCGTTTTATACGATCGTACGGTACGATATCGAAAAAAACGACAAAAAAATGAAAAAAACGTCGTTTTTTTGCACCCTGCCCCTCCCTGCCTGTCCCTCCGTGCCCTTCCGTCCCCCTCCACACCCCACCTCCCCCCCCAGACTTCGAGGTGGCGGGCGAGCAGGAGGAGCACATAGAGGCGGTGGAGGCGAGGGTGCCGCGGCTGGTGGCGCTGCGCATGGAGCTCACCCCGCAGCACCTCAGCGAGCGCCGCTTCTGGAAGATCTACTTCGTGCTGCTGCACTCCCGCATCCCTCCCGCTGCGGCTGCGCGCCTCTCCACGCCTCCCGTGATGCTCCTGCCCTGCTGTGCCACGCCCTGCCATGCCATGCTGTGCATGCAATTCTCTGCAATTCTGTGCCACCTCCTCTCCCTTGTCGTCTTTGTCCCAAACCATATGGTGCTCCGTGCCTATGCTTTATGCAACCATTGCGTTCTGATCTCTGATTGATCGCTCTCCTCCTCCTCGTAATTTCTGTCGGCATTGGCCTGACCACCCACCCCCCTCCCCCTCCTCTCTCCCCCCCCTTCCGCTCCCTGCTTCCCCTTCCCGTTTCCCTTTTTACCTTTTGTAAATTTCTACCCTTTTCTGCCTTCTTCTTTTCTCACCCTTTCGCGTCTGAGTCAGATTCTGAGAGCCAGGGACCAGGTATTGGCAGCGCTACGCCAACAGTCTGCAGCAGGCACGGCCGGAGACTCGCCCTCCCCCTCCCCTTCCGCTGATACTGCCCCCACCGCTGCTGCTGCTGGTGGTGGTCAAGGGACGGAAGAGGTCAAGGCAGGGAGTGCACTGCACCAGGGGGAAGCGGATGGTAAAAAGGTTGCAGATGAGGCGGCAGGGAGCAGTGCTGACGTGGCAGCAGCAGTGTCCAGTGTGAGGGATGAGGATGCGGATGATGATTGGCTGGAGGAGGACAGTGGGGGGGTGCTGGGTGGTGGAGGGGGAGGGGGGGCAGTGGGAGGAGGAGCAGGAGGGGTGGATGATGGGGAAGATGTGTCTTTCAGTGACTTGGAGGACGAGGATGAGGAGGGGGAGAAGGCTAAGGTAGACGGTAGCAGGGTGCAAGCGGGAAGCAGCGAAGCAGCTGCAGCAGCGGCAGCAGCAGAATCAGGAGCAGGTGGAGCAGGGGACGGGAGTGATGATCTAGATGATGATCTGGATGGAGATTTGGATGGTGAATTGGATGTTGGGGATGACACTGAGGGGGAGAATGCGACTGCTGTTGCTGCAGGTGAGGGGGCAAGCGCTGATGGCGGCAGTGCTGTGCAGGGCGAGCAGGCACAAGGCCCCGCAGGGGCAGCAGACGCGGCTGATGCTGCTGCTTCTGCTGCTCAGACTGCTGCGGCTGCTGGGGAGGCAGGGGATAAAGACGGTGGTGCTGAGGAGGGCAAGGAGGCGGGGAAGGGAGGGGCAACGGAGGTGAGCAAGGAGGGCTCGAAGGAGGGATCGCCTAGGGATGGTGAGGGTGCGGAGTGGGTGGACGTGCAGGGGAAGAGCAGAGACGGGGGCAATAGTAGCGCCAGCGGCAGTGGTAGCGGGTCGGATAAGACCGACTGGCTGACGGTGGGAGAGGAGGACATCGCTTGATGCTGCTGCTGCTGTTGCTGTGCTACTTTCTTGTCAAGGTAAGGTGTCGTGGAATTGCGGGGAAAGGGCAGCGTGAGTACACCACAGCACACACTCTAACACCTCAGAAGAGCTGTGTCTGTAAGACGGGCAGCACGAGCAGCGCTCAGTACAACAGCACGATGAACCCATGCGCCTTCTCATTGCCACTTCTTTGTCGCTCCTTTACTCCCACTTCTTACTCGAATCTCCCATCTTTTTCTCCCAAATTATGGACGTTTTACCCCTTTTCATGATTTTCTGTGGTATGGTATGCCAGGTGGTTCTTGATGGGCCTTGCAGGGAACCATTTATTCGTATGGGTGGTAATAGTGCTCCGCTTGTGGCTTCCCCTGCTGTGCTGGAGTAACGTACCTACCATACATTGGACCTTGGTTGTATATAATCGTGGTTCCAGAAATGGTGTCAGCAGTTGCAAAGCAGCGTAGACACATTCCGTAGGGACTTGGCTGGATATAAGTTCCAAGTAGTGTGGCAAGCTGTGGGGTGATTACGTGCCACATTCCGTTCCATTAATCAGATTATGAAAATACTGGAAAATAGGTGTGGGAATTTTCTGTTCTTTACTGTGATGTGACTCTTCCTCTGGATTGGATGAGATTTCTCGGCTTGCACTCATGAGTCATGCATACATGACCCTTCATTGCTTTAGTACGATAACAATTGTCATAATAAGGAATGAAGGAACTTGCATTCGTCAATTGCGCTTCCCAATCAGTTTGCACACTACCGGGTCTTCTCTCCATCGTAGTTCGGTCTGATTGGCGTACGAAAGAAGTGCGTGCGAGGTTCGGCCCTCAACAGCCCACGTTTTTCGTCGCCGACCGATGCTTTTGGGAACTGCATATGGACGACGTGCGCGCAAAGCTCTTACCGCTCACCTCCTCAACTAGGTCTTCTAGATGGTCATTTTCTTCCAGAAAGCTAGATTCAAAGCGGCTTTTGGGTATGTGTGGTTATTCTTATAGCAGGCTCGATTTTTTTAGCGTGTCGCCGTGATCATGGGCCAGCAGCAGTCAGCCAGTGGCAAGCAGGAAGCGCCGAGCGCCGAAGACGCGAGTGGAAACCAGCAACAGCAACAGCAACAGCAACAGCAGCAACAGCAACAGCAGCAACAGCAACAGCAGCAGCAGCAGCAACAGCAGCAGCAGCGGCAGCAGCAGCGGCAGCAGCGGCAGCGACGGAAACAGCGATAGCAGCGGCAGCAACGGAGCACGCAGCCGCACCGGCAGTCGTCGCCGTCGTCTCCCTTTCCAGGAAGCTGCGCGTCGCGCTACCCACCAGCATCGCCGTCGTAGTTGCACCGGCGCTCGCCCCGGGGACCCACCTCCGCTTGCTTCGCACGCAGTCCACGCTGACGTGGCATCCGACGCACCCGCCATGTCAGACCTGTCCCTCTGGAGCCACCGCTTACGCGCCGTTAGTGGCGGCGACGCGGCTACTCCCTCACTCGCGCCCGCTCCCGATCCGACGAACCCCGTCCGTACCAGCAGGACAGACGGCTCTTCCCCGCACTGCACGGCACTACACTTCCCCGATACAAGTCACCCCGCTTCTGGATCTCAAGCCGTGCCCTTTCCGTCACCTCGTCACCTCTCCGCCGCCCCTCCCGCCGCCGCATGTCCGATTGCGGCACTGCCCGCCGACGTGCTACTGCACTGCCTCATTCGCCTGCCGCGCGCCGATTGGCCCAGGCTGCGCGCCGTCTGTCGCACGTGGCGTCGCCTCGTCGCCTGCCCCGACTTCCTTCGCCTGCGTCGCGCGGACGGTCGCAACGAGTCGTGGCTGTTCGCCGTCGAGTGGATGTTCAAAGGCGGCTGTAGCGGGCAAGCTGCCGGCAATGCCAGCGGCGGCGGCAGCAGCGGCGCCGGGGTGTGGGGCGGGCGCGGTCGTAAAGTAGGCGGGGGCACTGCGAGAGGGGTGGGAGGTAGCAGCGTCGATCTGGGGGACAGCGGTAGGCGGGAGTGGGGGGAGGGTGGCGATTCCGTGAGCATAGAGGAAGCGGGGGACGAGGGGAACGAGGATTGGGTAAGGGACGAAAATGCGGAGGAAGCGGGGTGCGCGGGCGGCATAGGCAGTGCAGCAGCACGGGAAGGGCGAGCGCGTGCAGCAGCACAAAACGAGGTCCCTCCGCTAGCAGCAACAGCCCAGAACCGCACCAGATCGCGCGTGCTGCTGCTACAGCAGCACCAGCAGCAGCAGCGCACAGCCGTGAGCACCAACCAGCGCGCCCGCTCCGTGTCCCTCTCCCCGTACACCACAGCCCCCGCGGCCGCCTCAGCCTCACTCGCGCTGCTGTGGGCGTACGACCCAGCAGCGCAGCGGTGGTACAGCCACGGGTGCCTGCCACCCATGCGCGGCATCTGCCACTCGTCCACGCTCCTTGCCCTAGGACCCTGCCTGCTGCTGCTCGGGGGTTCCTGTAGCTCCGCCTGCTGCTCGCCGGGAGGGGGCGTTTGTGGTCCATGTGAGTGGAGTGGGGAGGGGGGTGAGGGGGAGGAGTTGGTGAAAGGTGGTGTGGGGTCGTGGGCGGGAGGGAGTGAGGGAGAGCGAGGGCAGAGTGAATGATGTGAGGTGGTGGGATGGGTAGCAGCTGCACATTCAGAAAGTCATCGCAGTAGCCTGTAGCGTTTCGTTCCCCGCTCGCCTTTCCACCCTCTTGGGCCCAATCCCCTCCTACTCCCCTTATTCCCTGTCCCCTTCCGTTTCTCCACAGCGAGGGCAGTGTGGCGGTACAACGTGGTAACCGGCAAGGCGCGGCGGCTGGCGGACATGACTTGCCCGCGGTTCAACTTCGCTGCTGCTGTGCTGCCTTCCTCCGGACGCATTATTGTGGCCGGCGGCACTGGCACCACCACTACCCCCACCACCACCACCACTGCTGCTGCTGCTTCTGCTGCTGGTACTGCTGCACGCACTGGACTGGGTACCGGTGGTGCCACTCACAGCAGCTGTGGCAGCAGCGGGCAGGCGAGGGAGTGGGCAGTGGGGTTTGACGAGGCCCTGCAGGCAGCAGAGCTTTACGACCCCACCACCAACCGCTGGCTGCCCCTGCCCGCCCTGCCGCACCCCACTCGCTCCGCGCAGGGCCTCGTGCTGGCAGATGAGAGCTTCTGGGTGGTTTCCACCTCGTCCCTGTGTGCCACTCGGACACTGTCTGCTCAGGTGCTGGAGGCGCCTGTCCTGGCTGCTGCTGTTGCCACGGCTCTGGGGGGGACGGAGCGGGGCAGGAGAGGGAGTAAGGAAGGCAGGGGGGGAAGGAGGGAGCGGCACGGGGCAGGGGATGTGAGCGGGGGTAGGGCGAGCGGTGAGGTTGAGAGAGGAGGCAGTGGGACGCACACGTGGGGTGGCACGTCCCCCTTGTCTGCATGGCGTGTGGTGCCTAGCATGCTACCAAGCAGCGTGGCAGGGTTGGTGGCCACACGCCTGACCACAGCCGATGGGCAGCTTGTTCTCACCAACCACGTGGCCCCCATGTGCCACCACGTGTTGCAGTACCTGCCCCACACCAACTCCTGGCGCGACGCTGGGAAGCTTCCTGTGTGCGGGTTCCGGGGGTTTGGGGTGGTGGGAGTGAATGGGCGTCTGCTGGTGGAGGGGGGCGTGGAGGCGGCAACAGTTGATGGAGCAGTGGGGTTGGATCCTGGGAGGTTCCTGCAGCGCACACCGTATGTAAATGCCTTCCAGCCTAGGATGTGGGGTGTGCAGGAGGGGGGACGGGTGATGCATGAGCGGGGCAGTGGAAGGGGAGAGTCTGTGAGAAGCAGTGGAGGGGATGGAAGGGGCCATGGGGTCAGGCAAGGAGGTGATGAAGCGCAAAGAGGTATAGATGGCCATGGCGAACTGGCAGTGGAACTTCGTGCTCACCCGGCAATGGGGCTTCTGGGGAGGGGAATGGCTGAGAACGAGGCGAGCAGGCAGAGTGTCAGCAACCCGTACGAAGGAAACATTGGCGGAGCAGAGGGGTCTGTGTGGGAAAGTGAAGCAGGGCAAGCGGGTATCAGAGAGAATGCTAGTACCAACATGCATGCACCTGCACATGAGCAGCAGGGGAATGGAATATCAGCACCTGGGGGTGGGCATGGAGATGGAGAGGGTGTGGGAGGTGCGGAAGGCAGTGCAGGTAGTGAGGTGGTGCTGCAGGAGGCAGTTTGGAGGCCTGTGCGGCCGTTTGGCAATGCGGGTGTTCCTCGTGTGTGCCACTGGTGCGTAGTGTCCACGCTTTAGGTTAGCTGCTACTAGGGCATTTTTATTTGTACTACCGTAGAAGCAGTTCACTTCACATCCCCGCCACCTGTTTTTGAACAGAATGCGCTGCAGGTCGACCTGCCTGTTTGCTAATGTAGTCAATTTTGCCATATCTTTTGCATCACTATGTAATTTACTTTTGCTAGTGAAACGCTTGCCAACCAAATTCCCCTGTGAACACGCAAGTGCAAGAGAACACAACAAACCTTATGATCACCCACTACCTGTGCCTTCCCTTGTAATCCAGCTACCCTGTTGTAAAGTGAGTTTCGGCATGGTACGGTGAGCGTGGACAGCCCCACAAGATACTTTCAGATAGTACCGTCATACCCCGGATAGAAGCGCAGGCCTCGGATAAGCGCCGGCGCTTATAAAAGGATGAGGGCGCTTATATCCGGTCCTCGATTATAAGCGCACCCCTGAAGGCTTACGGATTATAAGCGCACCGTCTGTAATATTTTTTATATTTTTACTGGAAACGCTGTAACGAAACACACTTTTTTGCATCCCCACATTCTGAATTTCGAAACCCTTCCCCCTCGCGCGACTCAATGCCTTCGCGTCCAGTCAGAATGAGCTGTCATGGGGTCAATCTGACTCATTCTGACTGTGTGTGTTGGCAGGGAATCAGCCACTGCCAATTTAGGGCGCGTGAGGTCGGTTTTGAAATTAAAAAAAAAGTGCGAACTTATTGTGGTTACCAGTTTCGTCAATTTCGCATAGAGCTGTTAGCGAAACTTCGTCAACTTTGGGTTTGGCAACATGCGAACTGCAAACTTGAACAAGACTCGAGTTTTCGATGTGAACGTGCTTCGGCATGTTCACATTCACGTGTGTGATTTCCCGCACGTTCGAACATCGGGCGAAATGTGCGAGCGACTCACGAGTAGCAACAGTGGCACAACGAACTCACCACAGCCTTCGTGAACTCAAAAGAGGCCACGTGGCGCGAATCGTGGCACGTTCACCCCATACACCAACGACTCTGAAGCCGTCTTGATGGCTCACCCCAAAAATCCCGCCAACCCCCTTGTCATATTTGGAGCCCAGGTGGGCAGCCTCCGATATTTGTACCCCAGTGTTGAAGGTGAGCTGGAGGTCTAGGCTATCCGAAACCGAGGCGCAAGTCTGCCGCATGGCGCACTGTCAAGACGCCTGAACCGGGTAACCTACTTTGTAGAAATGCGGTTCGGTGCGTTTTTACAAGTTCGAATACGCGCACTCGACCTTGTATGTGTGTGTGCTTTTCTGCAGTGTTGTGGTCCAGATGCGCGAACCCCGATACAACGAAAGTCGAGTTTGGTTCGACTTATGTTCACTTAGCACAACTCGCCCTAAAATTGTAAACTTTCACGAATTTCACCGAGCACACGCGCCCTTACGCGAAGTTCACATTCATTGCCTTGTACAATATCGATTCGATTCAAATCGCAAGGACGAGATGAACACTTTAGTGCCCAAAAAACTAACTTTAATATATGTCATTACATAAGCACCGGCGCTTATAAATTTCCTCAATTATAAGCGCACCCCCTAAAAAACAGTGTTTTATTACAACCCCAGGGGCGCTTCTATCCGGGGTGTGACGGTAACCGACGTTGCGCCTTACCTAAGGGTGTGTTCCTACGCCTCATATCAGGCAACCTCATACCGTAATCACCCGGACATAACACCCGGGGGTATTATGATAACCACAGGGAAAAAAAGGGGGGGGTGCTCTCAACGGAAAATCCTATATAATACCCGGGTGGTTATATATGGCACTTTTTAGTGTAAGAAAAAAGTTGTATTAGACAATTTGGGTGTTTCAATAGTCGTTTTAACATCACAGGTTGAGGCGAGAATTCGCGTTTTGGCGAGAATGTGAGTTTCACCTCTCGGGCCACGTGCAGCGGAAGGTTCGTCAGCGTGGCGACAGCGAGATTGTGGAAGGGAGGGAATCTCGGTAGATTCGAAGTGAAAGTGCACGCGAAATTTCATTCAGGAAGCGATTTTCGTCATATCCTCCCGTAAAAAATCTGACTCGATAACAGCTATAATAGGGTTTCGTAAGAAAAGGGGGGTGTTATAGAGAATCACCCCAAAAGGGGGGGTATAGTACAAACGAGGTCGGCTATAGCACCCTGTCAAGATTACGAGACTGGAATGATTGAACTAACAGAGAAATCAGTACAAATAGCTAACCCTAGAATTGTGTACCCCATACAGGCTAACCCACTGTAGCCTAACAAACCAAACATATATAATGTTTGACACACCCCCATAGGCAAAGTGGGGGAGACCTAGGGGTCACAAGACCAGTCAAGGCAAAGTAAGGCAAACAAGCTCAGGGTGGATCTCGAGGATTCCACACAAATTCCGAGCACAAACAAGCGGTCACAAGACCAGTTCACATGCAGGTTTATAATAGAGCAAGACGTACAATGATCACAACCTAGCAAGAGTAAACATGCAGGTATATAAATATATAGTGATCACAGTACAGGCAAAGTCAAGAAGTGAGCAAGTGAGGGCCAGTAGGCACAAGACCTAACAGAGTACAGAAGCGCTGATGGTCACAAGGCTGGAGTGCCTTGGTGAACACATCAGCAGTGTTGGCCTCAGTGGCCACGTAACGCAGACGAAGCTGACCGCGCTGCTGCAGCTCTCGAGCAAGGAAGTACCGCAGAGCAATGTGCTTCGTTCTGTGCTCCAGTCTGTGCTCCTCACACAAGGCAATGGCAGCCTTGTTGTCGACGTACAGCACTGGAGGAGAACGAGGCCGCTCTCCGAGGTCGGTCAGCAGGTAGGTCAGCCAGCGCAGCTCCTGAGCAGCCATGGCTGTGGCGTAGATCTCAGCCTCACAACTGGAGCTGAGAACAGAAGACGAACGAGTAGAACGCCAAGAAACTGAGCCAGAGCCAAGGCTGAAGGTGTAACCCTGTGACGACCGCTGAGTAGCCTGGTCGTCTGCCCAAGAAGCATCTGAGTGCCCTGTGAGAACAACCCGGTCCCGCCCTCCAAGCACAAGCCCCATGCCCGACGTACTGCACAAGTAGCGCAACACCCTCTTAGCAGCATCCATGTGCTCCTTCCTGTGACGGCCAGGAGCGACATAGCGTGCTAAGATGCTAAGGGGGTATGCAAGGTCAGGTCGAGTGCAGGTCATCAGGTACATGAGGCAGCCCACAAGCTCTGGATACGGGCCACTCGGCTCTACGGACTCATCCGAAGGCAGAGCTGAGAGCGAGTGACCGGTAGGCAGAGGAGTGGACTGAGGCGAGGAGTACGTGAAGCGGAAGCGCTGGAGAACCTGCTGCACCATGTGTGACTGAGTCAAGGTGATGGTGCGCCGTGCTCTGTCCCGGGTGATCCGCAAGCCAAGATAGCTTGTCAGCTCACCCAGGTCTGTGCACGTGTGTCTCCTCTGCAGCTCCGACTTCACGTGGGCGAGTGCCGCTGTGTCAGCTGTGGCAAAGACCAAGTCGTCAACGTACACGAGGATGTAGAACGGCGGCAGCGAGGTGTCGGTGCGTAGAAACAGCGACGGGTCAGCAGTAGAGGGAGCGAACCCAAGAGCCGCAAGCGTCGTCCTCAGTGTGTCGTGCCACTCACGTGGCGCCTGGCGGAGACCGTAGACCGGCCGCTGAAGCCTCCACTGGGTGCCAGGAGGAACCGACCCAGTGAAGCCAGGAGGGCGGCGCAACCAGATCTCCTCGTGCAGGCTGCCCTGCAAGAAAGCAGTGCTGAAGTCAAGTGAGTGAAGCTCGTAGTCGCGGTGAGCGGCTATGTGCAGCAGCACCCGAAGAGTGGTCATCTTCGGGGTGGGGGAGAAGGTCTGGAAGAAGTCGACTCCCTCTCGCTGACTGAAGCCTCGAGCCACGTAGCGTGCCTTGAAGACAGGAGGAGAACCCGGCGGCCGCTTCACCCTGAAAATCCACATGCCACTGACGATGTTCGCCCCAGGAGGGGGAACGTCGTCGACGTAGGTGCCTGTGGACTTCCAGGAAGCCATCTCTGCGTCCATGGCTGTCTGCCACTGAGAGGAGTAGGGACCCGCCATCGCCTCAGCGTAAGAGCGCGGGGTCGGGATGTCTGGTGCATCCGGGTCTCCCTCAGGGGCAACAAGCATGGACACGAGATGGGGCAAAGCAGCAGCAAAGCACTGGAACTCCTCCTGTCTGTCCTCAAGGACGTCCGTGCCAAGAGCACACTCACCCCCGACGGACGGAGGACAGGCAGACTCAGACTCAGACTCAGCGACAAGGCTGGCAGCGTAGTCTAAGCGACAGCGAGCAGCAAAGTCAACCAGCTCAGCGACCAGAGCAGACGCAGCAGAGGACTCAAAGGTCGGGTCAGTGACAACTGTAGCGAGGAGACGCGTAACAGTGGGACTGGCCGCACGACGGGAGTCAGACTCCGGGTCAGGAAGAGTAGGAAGAGATGACGCAGGAGGAGACGGCAGCGGGACACGCTGCGGAGCAGTGGAGGGACGCAAGGTCATGTAGTGAGTGCCAGGGACAGGAGGGGGACGCTCACGTGGGATACGACGACCAGTGCGAGTAGTACGAACAGGCGACGCAGGACGAGACTCAGGCTCACGACGCTCTGTAAGACCTCCTGTGGGACCAGTGTAAGGAGAGGGAGCAGGGAGAGGCGAGGCAGGCGGTAACTGTGACTGCGGTGGGACAGGCAGAGGACACTCGACGGTGGGAGGAGGACTAGGAGGAGGAGCCTGACCAAGAACCTGCTGAAGGAGTGGTACGAAGTACGGTCGCGGCCGCACAGCGTCTCCAGAACCAGCAGGGACACCAGCGGCAGCCCCAACGCCCGAGTCCTCAGCACCAGCAGCAGCTCCAACACCCGGGTCCTCAACACCAGCAGCAGCTCCAACGCCCGGGTCCTCAGCACCAGCAGCAGCTCCAACGCCCGGGTCCTCAGTACCAGCAGCAGAGCCACCGGTCAGGTCCTCAGCACCAGCAGTAGCGCCGCCGGTCGGGTCCTCAGCACCAACAGCAGCTCCAACGCCCGGGTCCTCAGCACCAGCAGCAGCTCCAGCGTCCGGGTCCTCAGCACCAGCAACAGCGCCACCGCTCGGGTCCGCTGCACCAGGAGCACCACTCCGAAGACTGCAGCGCCGTGTGTACCACTCTCGGATCACCTGAATGGGGGGGAGCTCCTGGGTAGGAGGGGAAGTACTGGGACGAGCTCCAGAAGCACCTCTCCGGAGGCGGCAGTACTCGAGGTACCTCTCCTGCAGCTGCTGGGAGGAGAGGGCTCCTCCAGGTGTAGTACGCTCAGGCTCAGCACCCGAAGACTCAGCACCCCCAGACTCAGCAGCCCCAGACTCAGCACCACCAGGCTCCGCACCTCCAGGCTCCGCACCTCCAGGCTCAGCACCCCCAGGCTCCGCACGTCCAGGCTCTGCACCCCCAGACTCAGCACCCCCAGACTCAGCACCCCCAGGCTCAGCACCCCCAGACGCAGGACGCGAGTCAACAGCTACCTCGACAGGCTCACCCGGGTCTACCTGGGACACACCTGAGGGAGCGGCACCCTGAGGGGGGAGGGGGTCTGGTACCTCAGCACCTGGAGCGAGGAAGAGAGGCGGGGGGGGGAGCGGGGCAGTGCGGTAGGGGAAGAGGCGGTAGAAGGGGACGGACTCGTCAAAAGTGACGTCCTGAGAGGCCAGAACCCGGCGCGAGGTGACGTGGTAAAACTGCCATCCAGGCGCGTCAGGCACAAAGCCAAGAAAGACACAGGGAACGGCGCGACGCGAGAGCTTGTCCACGGACGTGTCGCGGACAAAAGCTCGAGATCCCCAGATCCGGAAACGCGACGCATCGCCAACCTCTCCCGTCCACCGCAGAGTCGGGGAAGTCTCCGGCAAGGAGACACGGGGCCAGAGGTTGAGCTGATGCGCAGCGTATCGGACCGCAAACGGCCACAGAAAGTGGGGAGCAGCCGCATGGGTCAGGGAGGTACGAGCGACCTCCATGACTAGGCCAATGCGGCGCTCAGCGACCCCATTCTGCTGCGGAGAGGCCGGAAGCGTGAACGACTGCTCAATACCGTGCTCAGCACAGTAGGCTGCCAAGAGGTCGGAGGCGAACTCACCACCTCTGTCAGAGTGCAAGCGCAGGACAGGAAAGTCCGAGTGAAAGCGCTTGCCTAGCTGGAGACGGGCTCGACTGATCCAGGGGATCAAAACACCAGGGACGTCACCCTTGGCGCGCAAGGGGAAGACTGTGGTGTAGCGCGAGTAGTCGTCAACAACTATCAGGAAGTACCTCTCCTGACCCTGACCACGGACGCGGGCTGGGCCCCACACGTCCATGTGGAGCGTCTGCAAGGGAGCAGTCGTCGGGGGAAAGGAGGAGGAGTGAGGAGCGGCGCGCTGCCGCCCCTCGACACAGGGAATGCAGTCAGGAGCAGGGGAGTCGGGAAGGGGAGGGAGCACCCTGGGAAGACCAGCAACAAGGTCCCGTTTGTGCATGGCCCGAAGGCGCTGCACAGACGGGTGACCAAGGCGGTGGTGCCAGAGGACAGTCTCATGCGCCAGAGAGCGACACGAGCAGGGGGCGGATAGCTGACCTGACGCAGACGCAGACGCAGCTACCTGAGGGGACTCAGTGGTCAGTGTGTACAGGTCCGACCCCGGCTCTCGAGTGAAAGTAGCCAGGTGGCGGCCCGTCCGAGCACACGTGCAGTGTGTCACACGCTCGTAGGCAGGGGTGAACTGGTGAACACCCCCGTCCTGCAGCGCACAACCTGCCACCAAGTTCGTAGAGAACGAGGGGAGGTAGAGACCTGAGAGCGTGCCGGACGGAACCGCTGGACACGGAAGTGTAGTGGAGGAGGTCGCAATGACCGGACCCCCAGAGGGGTCAGCAAGAGAGACAGCAACCGGCCGAGCTAGTGGCTCAAGGACAGTGCGGTCACGAAAGAAAGAGCGAGAAGCACCTGAGTCCAGTGTGAAGGTGTGGAGTGCTGCAGTCGACTCAGTACCAGGGGGCACAGACGCACTAGCACCTAGGGCAGCTGCTGCAGCAGGACCTGTGGGAGCAGACACACTAGCACCTAGAGCAGCAGCTGGGCTGGCCTGAATGCCCGGGTCGGGCGGAACACGCAAGTACTGGGCACCCTCTCCACTAATAGACATCGCATACATAGCAGTGAGAATAGCATCAAAGTCTAAAGCCCAGATATCAACACCCTTCTTTTCCAGCTCAGGCCAGCGGGGGAGCTCAGTAGACCCAGGAAACTGGATGCGCCACGCGTCAGTCAGGCGCTGGAAGCAGCGCTGCGTGGGGTGCGACCTCCCACATGGCTGGCCAGTGCGGTCACCAGTGCGGATGACGTACGTGCAAGTGTACCCACGCTGCGCGTACCACTCACGGGCGGCCTGGAGGGTCGGGGCGTGCTGCTGACTCTGGCCACCTCCAGCGTCTCCACGGCCACCACCGCCACCGCCACCGCCACCGCCTCGGCCACCTCCACCCCTGCCACGGCCACGACCGCCACCGCCGCCGCTGCCACCTCCGCCTCTGCCACCACCCCCGCCGCCGCTGTCACCACCCCCACTGCCGCCACTAGCCTCTCCAGACCCACCGCCACCTCCACTGTCTCCACCCCCGCCTCCCCCGCCTCCACCCCCACCCTTGCCCCCCCTGCTCTTGCGGCGCCCGCTCGAAGCAGACGCAGCCCCGACCTTCTCAGCACCAAGGAGGTCGACAGCAGCAGCAGTGGCGACAGAGGGGAGAAGGGGGGAAGGGGAACACCCCTCGAAGAAGGGGGTGCGGGGCTCGCCACGAGAGGCACCTACGGCGACGATGCTCGCCTCAGCTGCAAGTAGGTCCTTCTCGAGGAGGGCAATGGTGAGCTCAGTAGGGGAGCGAGCTAGAAAGGAGTCCCTGACTGTGCGCAGAGAGTCAGGGAGGCGGGTGACAATGTGGTAGAGGGTGAGCCAGAGCGGGGGGGGGTTGCTAGCAAGGAACTCGGCAGGCATGGCAGCGCGAAAACGGGCCTCACTAGTCTTGAGGTGGGTGATGAGATCAGCGACAGTGTGAAAGGAGGCCAGGTCGGGGAACAGGTAGGGCAGGGAGAGGCGGCCTAGGGTGGCAGACGCAGGCGAGGAGTAGCGAGCAACTACGGCTGTGTACAGTTCCTTAGCAGTCTTGCACTGGCCGAAGTGCTCGCGCTCATCTAGCGGCAGGGAGTTGCGGATAGCAAAGCGAGCGTGTGCGTCGCGGGTCTGCCACTGGGAGCGCAGTGTGCTAGCAGCAGAGGAGTCAGGGGCAGTAGCATGGCCTAGGGCGTGGTCGTACAGTGAAATGTCTTCCTTGGCAGTGAGCTGTAGGAAAAGGTGCAGATCATCGAGCCAGGTGTCAAATTTCACTGGGCGGCCCTCAGCGTCGAAGGCTAGAACAGGAGCAGTAGCCATGGTAGCAGGAGGAGGAAGAGTAAGTAATAAACGTGGCAGTGACAGTAGCAGCAGGGCAAGGCAGGGCCGGGGCAGTCGAGACAGCGGCAGCAGATGCTGCAGGTTCGGCTACGGCTGCTGCTGCTGGGTCGGCGGCGGCTGCTGCTGCAGAGGCAGCGGCGGCTGATTCTGCTGTAGCTGCGGCGGCCGCTGCTGTAGATTGCGGCGGCTGCTGCTGCCGTAGATGCGGCGGCGGCCGCTGCTGTAGATGATGCGGCAGCTGCTGCCGCTGTAGATGCAGCGGCGGCTGCTGCAGAAGGCGCGGCGGCTGCTGCTGCTGGAGATGCAGCGGCGGCTGCTGCTGCTGTGGATGCAGCGGCGGCTGCTGCAGAAGATGCGGCGGCTGCTGCTGCTGTAGCTGCAGCGGCGGCTGTTGCAGTAGATGTGGCGGCTGCAGCTGCTGTAGATGCAGCGGCGGCCGCGGCAGGAGAGGCGGCGGCGGCTGCTGCAGCAGTTGCGACGGCCGCGACTGCAGTCTCTGCCGCGGCTGTTGCTGAAGGCCCGACCGCGGCGACGAAGGCGCGGGGGGGTCGAGCGCAGCACGGAGCAGCGCGACGGGCCGCGCTCGAAGAAAAAAGAGCCGCGCGCGCCGGCGGCTAGCTAGGCGCGCGCGAAAAATGGCCGCGCGCGGGCTGCTGGCTGGTCGCGCGCACGAAATAGGCCGCGCGCGGGCGGCTAGCAGATCGCGCGCGGTAAAAAAAAAAAAAAGGGATAGCGCACTAGGGGCGCAATAGGAGGCGCACTAGGGGCGCAATAGGAGGCGCACTAGGGGCGCTTGATAGGTATGTAGGTAGTTAGGTGGGCCCTTAAAAACGGTCCTAGGGAAGGACCTGCTCTGAAACCATGTCAAGATTACGAGACTGGAATGATTGAACTAACAGAGAAATCAGTACAAATAGCTAACCCTAGAATTGTGTACCCCATACAGGCTAACCCACTGTAGCCTAACAAACCAAACATATATAATGTTTGACACACCCCCCCCGCACAAGCTACCCGGGGGTGTACTATTACGGGGGGGTGTTTTGTCCGGGTGATTACGGTATTAGACTTGCCTGGTAAAACTAGCGAGGGATTTTGGTTTTGGGGGAATTTTCTGTGGGAGCCTGATATGAGGTTCGCTTGATACGAGGCGTAGGACAACCGTCTTAGTCGCCATTGTTACAATCTGAATGAACAGATTTATAGGATCGGCTAAGGTTAAAGCCCGAGTCTAGAATGGCAAGAGTTCAAGTTCAAGATTCTTGAACATGATTTCGCCTAAGAACATGGTAACCCGCCTTTCTTGTGTTGTTCTCTCGCGATCCTCTGTGAAGGGGTTTGAAGCGCATGAATGTGATTGGGCAAAAGCACAACATCAAAATCACTGACGACCCTCGCCAGAACAAACAAAACCATCATTACTGTTCATACTTCTGGAAACTTGAAACATGAAGCTACCGTTCTAGACTCGTATTATCTAGCTCCGCAGCGCACAATATCGTCAACAGCCGATAACTAGTACCCGCCTTTCCTAGGACAAGCCTCCTAACTTCGGTAGTTGCATGGTATAGGTTACTCCCGTCCCTCACGACACTCCCAATGCCTCCTCTCGCTTGCGGTATGTGCAAATTTCTCGCGGGAACCATCTCTTCAGTAGGGTACCTATCATCGCGTCCATCGTTCTAGTCGCTCCCGCTCCTCCAGTCGCTTTCATCCCTCTCGTCGCTCCCCCTCCTCCCGTCGCCCTCGTCGCGTCTGTCCTGGGCGCTTCTCTCGTCACTCCCGTGACGTCCCAGTCGTGCCTTCTTTCCCTCCTCCACCCGTCGCCGAACACCTTCCGTCCTGCTCCTCGCTTCCGTCCCGCTCCTCGCTTCCGTCCCGTGTTCTCACCTATCGTTTTCTTCCCTCCGCCCCTCACTTCCCTCGCCGCCGATCATCATCCGCCCCTTATTCGCATCGCTCACTTTATCCGTCGCTCGAACGAACCCACCGCCCACACAAGGCAATCGCCTTGCATCGGTCCTGTCGCCCACACACTTTCATGCGACATTCACTCCCGTTCCGCACACTCACTCCCGTCGCCCGCACTCCCGTCGCTCACACTCCTGTCGCTCACACTCCCGACGCTCACACTCCTGTCGCTCACACTCCCGACGCTCACACTCCCGACGCTCACACTCCCGACGCTCACACTCTCGTCGCTCACACTGATGTCGCTCCCAATTCCGTCCTCACAATTCCATCGCATACTCACTCCGGCCGCTCACAAACACCCGTCCCTCAATGCATCCTGTCATTCACGCACTCTCGTCCCGCGCTCACCTCGTAGCGCGCGCCAATCCCTCCCGTTCCGCAGTCACTGTCGTCCCGCATTCTCACGTTCCAGTCATTGTCGTGCTCTCTCGCTTCCTCACTCAATCCCGTCCTTCTCTCACACCCGTCCCTCTCTCACACCCGTCCCTCTCTCACACCCGTCCCTCTCTCACACCCGTCCCTCTCTCACACCCGTCCCTCTCTCACACCCGTCCCTCTCTCACACCCGTCCCTCTCTCACACCCGTCCCTCTCTCACACCCGTCCCTCTCTCACACCCGTCCCTCTCTCACACCCGTCCCTCTCTCACACCCGTCCCTCTCTCACACCCGTCCCTCTCTCACACCCGTCCCTCTCTCACACCCGTCCCTCTCTCACACCCGTCCCTCTCTCACACCCGTCCCTCTCTCACACCCGTCCCTCTCTCACACCCGTCCCTCTCTCACACCCGTCCCTCTCTCACACCCGTCCCTCTCTCACACCCGTCCCTCTCTCACACCCATCTCTCTCTCACACCCGTTCCTCTCTCACACCCGTTGCTCTCTCACACCCATCCCTCTCTCACACCCGTTCCTCTCACACACCCATCCCTCTCACACCCGTCTCTCTCACACCCCTCCCTACTGCCCCCAGGTGCCACGTGGCATCTGGGGTGGTCACCTCTCCATACATCCCCCTCTCTGCCTCTCTCGTATAACCCCTCTAAGCCCATCCCCTCCTTTTCCTCTCAGCCCTTCTCCCCCCTCCTTCCTCCGCCCCTCTCCTCCTTTTTCTCTCAGTCCCTATCATCCTTTCCCTCTCAGCCCCTCTCCTCCTTTCCCTCTCAGCCATTTCTCCTCCTTTCCCTCTCAGCCATTCTCCTCCTTTCCCTCTCAGCCCCTGTCCTCCTTTCCCTCTCAGCCCATCTCCTCCTTTCCCCATGTCCTTCCCTCCGTTTCCCCCCTTTTTATTTCTCCCTTTCCCCGTTTCCCCCCTTTTCATCTCTCCCTTTCCCCATTTCCCCCCCATGTCCTTCCCTCCGTTTCCCCACGTGTCCTTCCCTCCCTTTCCCCCATGTCCTTCCTTCCGTTTCACCCTTCTCCCTCCCTCCCTTTCCCCTTCTCCTTCCCTCCGTTTTCCCCTGGTACTTCCCTCCCTTTCGCCCATGTCCCTCCCCTTCTCTTACCTCGCCCATCCTTTCCCACCTGGTCTGCCCCTTCTCCCGTTCGTCCTTTTTGTCCTCTTCCTACCCTCTGTTGCCCTGTTCTCCATGCCCCTTGCCCAGGGTCCTCATGACCCATACCCCATGTCCTAAGACCCTCTGTGGGCGGCAGCAGCAGCCTTCTCAGTCACACACCCTGCTCACTCACACACCCTGCTCGCTCACACACCCTGCAGTGCTGGGGAAAGCAGTGCTGGTGGGTGCAGTGCTGGTGAGTGCTGTCCTGTTCTTCTCCTCCGCCGTTCCTCCCTTCAGAAGTTCCTCCCTCTATTCCACCCTCTTCATCCCTTCTTCTGATCCTAGTCAACTATAAGGATAAGTTGAGGGACCTTGCGTCATCCGTTCCCCCTTTCCCTTCCCTGCTGCTCAGCCATGTCACATCTTATTTCCTGGTTTGTGTTTGTATACAGGTCTGCTATGCATCTGGTTGTGTTGATGTGTTGATTGTTTGATAGTACTATGACACCTGGCCATGCCAAATATTGATGTTGAATGTTTTGTTATACTAATACAAACTCTTTACTCGAAAGCAGCCGTGCACATGACCACTACAAAGGAAAGGAAGTACTTTGGCAACTATCGACATGAAGAAGACAGCTACGATATGTAATGATTTTGGGCCACCCTTGGCTGCTACACGGCATGCAATAAACCCCGGGCCATGGTGCTGAGACCTGTACCCTGCGCGGCTGGAAATGGGGTTGAGTGAAAAGGGGAGCAGACTGAGCAGCAGAAAATAGAGTGAACAGGAAAAAACTAAGCGAGTAGGGGGGGAGAGAATGAATAGGGGAAAGAGAGTGAGCAGGGGGGAAGAGAATGAATAGGGGAAACAAAGTGAGCAGGGGGGAAGAGAATGAATATGGGAAACAGAGTGAGCAGGGGGGAAGAGAATGAATAGGGGAAACAGAGTGAACAGGGGGGAAGAGAATGAATAGGGGAAACAGAGTGAGCCGGAGAGATCAAAGGGTGTGAGGCCGCTGCTTGTAGCCACTGTAGACCGCAGGGAGGGGGTGTAAGGGCGTAGAGGAGGAGTGGAGTGCGGTGGAGGGTGGTGGGGAGCTTGCATACCCTGCGGAGAAGGGAGTGGGCAAGGTGTAACAGTAGGGCGTCAGATACAGCAGCAGTGGAGAGGTCAAGGTGTGTGAGGGTTACTGCTGCGTGTAACCACTTCAGCACGCAGGGCGGGTTGTGAGGGCGTGAAGGGGGAGTAAAGTGTGGTGGAGGGTGGGTCGGAGGAGGAGGGAGGAGGGAGGAGGGAGGAGGGAGGAGGTAGTAGCGATTGAGGCACCAGAGAGAACGAGATGAGTGAGGGGGAAGGAGGAAGAGGAGGAGGAGGAGTGATAGGAGGAAGGAGAGGAGGCGGAGGGAGAGGATTGGGAGGAGGGGAGAGGGAAGCCAATGGAAAGGAGGGGGCAGTGGGAGAGGTGGAAGGTGGTGAGGGAGGGGTGGGCGGGGGGGTGGGAGAGGGCAGTCCAGGCGAGGTTGGCGGAGAGCAGGAGGGGGAAGGCGAGGAGCAGCGAGGAAGAGGCGTTGGTGATGCTGCTGCCCCACCCTGACAGATGGCGCAAGTGAACCAGCGACTGGGGGAAGAGTGGGTGGGGGAAGCAAGGGCGATGGGTGGGGGAAGCTAGGACGGCGGAAAGGGGAAGCGAGAGCGACGGGAGGGGGAAGCGAGGGCGATGGGAGGGGGAAGCGAGCGCGATGGGCAGGGAGAGCGAGGGCGATGGGAGGGGGAAGAGAGCGCGATGGGAGGGGGAAGCGAGGGCGACGGGAGGGGGGAGCTAAAACGGCGGAAAGGGGAAGCGAGAGCGACGGGAGGGGGAAGCGCCCGCGATGGGCGGGGGAAGCGATGGCGAGGGGAGCCTGGGGGAAGCGAGCGCGACGGGAGGGGGAAGCTAGGGCGGTGGAAAGGGGAAGCGAGGGCGTCGGACGGTGGATGCGAGCGCGACGGGAAGGGGAAGCTAGGGCGGCGGAAAGGGGAAGCGAGGGCGTCGGACATTGCTCTAATCTCCCATCTCCTGCCGCACATTATCTCCGTGCTTCACACTTGCATTCGCGCCACATTCCCTCCCTCGGTCATCGGATTCTTCTCGATTTCGGCCTTAACGTATATATTCCTACATGTTATACCTATCTCTTCTTGCACACTTGTGCTCCTACACCCTCGAACTCTTGCACTCTTGCACCCTCGCACTCTTGCAGTTTCTCTTGCTTCTCATTCACTCAGTCGTGCTTCCCACTTCACCCGCCGGACCCTCCCCCACCTCTCGGCAGCCAATGCGATGCTGGCGTTAAAGACTGCTTTGGGTGTGACCTTCACCGCGTGGACCTCCACCAGGAATTTGTTCGCCTGGCTACGCTGCAGCATCACCGACCAGCGTTGACGGTAGTGTGCCGTCAGCTTGGAGGCCACCGCCGTTAGTCTCCCCTGCCGGAACTTTTTCTTAGCCGCCTGAGTGCCTAGCATCCTCAGGAACCGCAGTGTATCCCTTGCCAGGGCCCCATACGTCTCTACCGCCAGCCCCAATACCCCAACATAGTCCGGGCGCCCCTCATACAGCCCCCTCTTCCCCCTTGCAGCCTCTTCCGCTGCCCACCCTGGCGGTTTCAGCGCCCTGGTGTCGCGCCGCTGCAGAACCGGGTCTGTTATGGTCACGTCCGTGACCCAAGTCTCAGCTGACTCCCTGTCCGTGAAGGCCAGATCTGCTCGCTTGGGGTTGACTGGTTGCGAGTAGGTCGTGGTCTCATGTAAGGTTATATTGTCAGCTTCTCTCGCCATGCGCAGCGCCGCATAGACTAGTGTGTTATGTGTGTTTGTCTGGTCCTTCCCCTCCCCACACCACAGCAGGTGGTTCGGCAGGCTCACATCCCCTATCTTCCCCCTCTCCCCCTGGCACGGGCAGCTCTTGGTCACTGGTAGGGGCAAGCCCAACCGGAAGCCTAGCGCCAGGGCATATTGCCCTGGTGAGAAGGTGAGATCTGCCCTCGTTGGGATGGCGTGAAGCCAGTCCCCCGCCCCCACTCCCTGTAGGCTGATGAGCCGCACCACGTGGCCATTGTCCTCCCCCGGTTTATCCTTCCTCGTATCCCCCACAAGCTCCGCCGCCCTTGTGAGATTGATCTGCTGGGACAGTGCCTCCTGTAGACGGCCCTTCCCCTCCCTCCTCCCCCTCGGTTCTTCTAGAAGTTCCTGCACCCGTCTCGGGAACCGGTTCCACATATCCCTCAGCGTCATTCCTCTCTCGCCCGCCACGCCCACTCCTCGTGGCGAGACCAGCTTTTCTACTTGCTGTAGCTGCTCGTTGGGCGAGTGCGGCATTTGTTGTAGCAGCAGCTGCGACGCTTTCAGGGACGCCAGGTGTGCCGCTGGTGCTTCCGAGAGGGGATCGATCAGCCCCAGCCCTCCCAACGCGATAGGCAGTGTCGCCTGCCTCCACACTAGGCTTTGTTCCAGCTCCTTGGCTGGCACGCGTAAGTGGGCCGCCCTTAGAGCCGTCCACAGCAGCCGCTCGCTCCACCCGCGCCACTCAGCTAATGGCAACACGTCCGCGGGCGTCGTGCGCAGGAGGTAGGAAATCCTGCGCGAAACACATCTGGACAATAACAGCATTGCATGCTGCGGGTGCAGCTTGCTGATCAGCCGTAGCGGTAGCGCTATTCGCTCCAGCGTCTCCCGGACCGTCCGTCTGCAGTAAGCCGTGGTGCCTATCGGGCTTCCCAGGACCTGCACCCCATCCACCGCCGCTGCCAGCCCTTCCGGTAGGTCCTGCGGGGCACCATGCCGAGGATTTGACCAGGTTGCACCGTAAGCCGACTCCACCGAGCTCGCGTATGATCCTGTTGAACGCCCTGGTCGCCGCCACTGGGGGCCTGACGATGGTAATGTCGTCGGCGTACGCCATCACTGTCGCGTCTGGTGTCTCCACAGCCGCCGCCAGTAAAGCCGGTTGTATTGCTAGCGCGAAGAGTGTGGGGCCGAGCGGATCTCCTTGGCGGACCCCCCCTGTGTGCTTTCGATGTAGCTGACGCCAAATCCTTCGTCTAGCAGCAGCGCCGATGGGGCCGCATATAGCGTTCGTGCGAGGGGGAGAAGGGAGATCAGGTTTGTGAAGCGCAGCGAGTTCAAGAAGTGCCCGCGCTCGACCGAGTTGAACGCGTTTTCTATATCTAACTGCAGAATCACCCGCATCTCGTCTTCCCCCAACAGCGCCCGCGGCGCATGTATGATGCACTCCGCCCCTCCTGGTGTAGCCACCCCGTACTGCACCGGGAGGAAATATTTCCGAATTTCTCCCGACAGCTCCCTCAGAGCCGCTTTAGCCACAATCCGTAGGAGCGCTTCACCTATCGCTATTGGCCTGACGCCGCCGTCGGGTATTCCTAGGGCGATCAGCCTCGCAAGTAGTAGCAGGTCCCTCACCGGTCCCTCCTGAAACGTACTGAGGAGGTTGTTAACTAGGCCCTGGAGTAGGAAGAAGACCTCGCCGTTTGTGAGTGCGGGGTCGCGAAGGTGTTCGAAGCATGTGCCCGAGGGGCCCGCCCCTATCCCATTTGGGCACTTCACTAGGACGTCGCGGAACGAGTCCGCCCCAATGACAAGTGCAGTTTCCCCGTAACCCCCTTACCCTTCGGGTATCGCCACTTGCGCCTGTGGGTGTTTCGCCTTGAGTGTCGCGAGCGCGGCCTGCAAAGGTTCAGCGAGTGGCGAGCTCTGTAACGCCGCTGCTACTTTCGACAAGTTGGCTTTTTTAACCAACCCTTCCACTCGTGCGCAGGTTCCTTCTGCATCGGGCTCATGTCTGCTTGGTTGGGAATCCGCCGCGAAGGTGCAGGCTTGGAGGTACAGTGTTCCCCATTCCTCGTCCCGAAATTGCCTGAGGCGTCTCTCCACCTCGTCCAGGCTTTTGCCCGGCACTTTCTCCGTGCTTGCTCTGAGTGTCAGCCGGGGCAGGAATTGCAGAATTCGCCACGCTCCCATGCACCCTGGGCGCCTCGACAACCTCAAAAGAGGGATGGTGAGGCAGTGGCTGAAGGACTTCAGGATCTCCGGAGGAAGTTTCCGGATCAGGAATGGTTGTGCGCTGGAGCGCAATGGGTCCAGATTCCAGCCCTCTACCTGCTGCCATGTGGCATCGTCATCAGCGATGTCACTGGGCGATCGCTCTTTGCTGGCAGTGTTGTTGCCCTGCGGTGCATCCGATTCGCCCACCTGTCCTGCTCCCGTTTGGTTTCTTTCATCCCTTCCTCGTATTCCGCCCCGTCTCCTCCTTCCCTCATTGCCAGCTGGGATGCCCTCCTCCGCCTCAACCGAGATTTCTTCCGACTCCGCCTGCTCCTCTCCCCTATATTCTGACTCCTCTTCCTCGGCAGGGTCATTCATTGGATCCACGCTCTGCACTTCTGGCCTTCCGTGCCTTTCCCGCCAATCTCCAGATCTAGCTATTTCCCTCGCCATAGCTCGGGCCAGGTCGCCCACCCAGCCTCCTCTGCCCCTGCCTCTCCCCCGTCCTCTGGGAGCCGTTCTTCCCGCCACGTTTCGCGGCTGCCTCGCCGACGTGCGCCCTTCGGCCTGCTCGCGTAATGCCCTCTGCCTGCTCGTTTCTGTCCATCGCGCTTCGTCGTTTCTCATTCCCCGCACGTTCTCTCCAATTTCTTCGTCGTGGACGGCGACCTTGCGCTCACCGTCCCGTCCCGCGTTGTTTAGCCCTTGCAGGCCCTCATTTGATGGCGGCAAAGCACCGTCGTCCCTCCCAGACAGGCCGCTCGCCTGGATCTGGCTCAACCAGCCCGTCGAGGGCCAGGGAGGGGCTGGCGCCAGTCCTGCTCCGAGCCGCCGCGGCGCTGGTCGAGCACGAGGAGGCCGCACCCCCCGCCCGACATCGCGAGCCGATCTACCGCTCCCCCCGTGGGTGGACGCATCCCCATCTCCGAGCCCGCGGTGGTTCGTTTCGTCGACGCCGTCCGCCTCGCCCCACTCCCGCTGTTCAGTGGGAGATTGTGGGGCCGCTTCGTTCTCCTCCGCCGTCGGTCCTTCACCTGGGTGCGTCGCCTGCGCTGTCGCAGGCCGCGACCCCCATCATCTCGCCAGCTGTCGTCCGGTGTGGCCGCACCTCCTCCTCCTCCGCAGTCCCCGCCCCTCCCTGTTCCGCCGCCGCCACTCTCGGCTCCTCCCCCCTCCTCCCTTCCTCCAGTGTTTCCTGCCCATCCACCGTCATCCGCGGCACCCCAGGCGTCTCCCCCTCCGTCTCCGCCCCCATCCGCTTCTCCGCCTCCCTCCGAGCCTCCCCAGAGGCAACATCCCCTCGTTCCATCTGGACCTGCCCTTGAGGCCCGGTTTCCTCCTCCTCGCGCTCGTTCTCCCGAGCTCCCTCCGGATGCTCCTGACCCCGAGGACGACGAGCGCTGGTGAAATGGGGAGCTTTGGGGGTCCCCTCCTCAGCCCGCGACTCTTTGGGGCCGTGAATGGGACATCCAGTCCGATTTTGTGAAGGACGTGCTCCGCTGGGAGAAGCGCATGGTGGCGGTTGGGGACTGCATGTCGCACGTGGCGACAGTTCTGGAGCAGCTGCATGAAGGCTTGGTGGCGCGGAACTCTGTTCTCCGCGATCCTCAGCTGACGGAGCCCCAGCAGGGAGTTGTGCGGGCGGCCGCGGCGCAGGGTCTCTGGCGTCTTCTCCGCTTGCCCCTGGAGTCCGAGTTCCCCCATCAGGACGAAGGGCCTGGCGCGCAGGCCTTCCGACAGGTTGCCAAGGCTGCCGAGGAGTCCCCCCTTCAGCTCGTGCCCGTGCTCGCAGATCTCTTGCGCTGGCTCCGCCAGCGTTTCTACGTGTTGAACCGCGTGTAGCGCCCCGATCCTGCTGGGCCTTGGCCTTTGCTTTGTTGCTCCCCATGTGTGCAGCCACTCTACTTACCTGGCCCTGGAGTTGTAGGGCCTTTCTAGAGCTGCATCTTGTACTTTCCCTTGATAGTGTTGTTTGTAACTTGCCGTCCCCTCACGCGCGGCCGAAGGCGGCCGGCGCGAGCCGCCGGATTCGCAGTGAGAATGAATCCCGCATCCTGGGTCATGCTGATGCATGCATCGCGAAGCTCATTGTGAGTGTTGATGCGGTGCTTGCCAGTGCCGCAGCGTAGGAGGTGGTTTTGGGAGGCGGGAGTCAGTGATGGCTGTGTGGTCCGCGTAGTCAAAGTTTTTGGGGGTGGAGAAGGGCAGGCCGAGCCGAAATCTGACGGCGTTGGCGAAGTGGACCGGTCCAATGCGCCGGGTCGGGGCTATTGGTATCGCCGTCAACCAATCCCCAGTGCCGTATCCTGTCAGAGAAAACATCCGCTGCGTGTGGCCTGCAAGCGGATTCAGCGGCATCTTCCTTGTCTCCTGAACCTGTATCGCCTAGCGACTACCGTGGACTTGGAGGGCGAAGGCGTGCTGCAGCTTCACGTCCGTCCGTTCCAGTCGCTCTCGTTCCAGCAGCTCACGCGCGTCAGAGGGCAGGGAGGTCTCGCACTCAGTGAGCCAGGAGTGGAGTGGCGTGCTCTCGTCCCTCGGCAAGAGCATATGGCCGCGCGCGCATGCGACAGGGCAGAGTCCGGGGGTAGAGCGAGCGTGGAGAAGAACAACGCCGCCTGTGTGAAGCTTGTGACGAACCCGTAGACACCCTCAATGAGTGGGTCGGTGATCCCAACTCCCCCAAGAGAAGGAGGAAGGGATGCCTGGGCCCATACGTGCGACTATTCTACTCTACCCGCCGATGCTCGAATGTTGCACAAGGTAAGCAACATCATCAAGAGGTCGCTCACGGCCCCACTGCGTCCACGTGTCCCTGGGGACGAGGTTGAGAGGCGTCGTCCGAGTGAGGTACGCCACACGCCGGGAGATGCAGCACGTAATCAGCAACAAAGCAACCTGCGGATCAGCCCGTTCGATGAGTGGCAACGGTTGCGCCATCTCTCCCAACTGCCCAGCCAAGAAAGCGGATGCCCCATCTGCTGCACCGATAAAACTTCCCAACAGCCGAACGCCGTCTTTGCAGAATGGCACCTCTGGCGGCAGCTTAGTTGAATCACACGTGCGTGTGCTCCATGCCGTGCACTTCCGTGGGTTGTGCTTCAGGCCCAGTAATTCCAGCTTCGAGGTGAAGAAGTTGAAGGCTGCTACCGTTGCACGTTGCTCCCCCACGAATGTCACATCGTCCGCATACATATGCCAAACAAAGCACATCAGGGTGTGCTGCTGCAGTGTCGCGAAGTGTGGGGTGAATCCCCGCCGCGAAAAGGAGTGGGCCCAGTGGGTCGCCCTGGCGAACGCCCCGTTCACTACGCAGGGGTTCGCTTGCAAAGTTTGTGTCCAGGTGCAGCTGCGACGGGTAACCGTAGGTCAGTTGAACCAGCGGTAGCAGTGGCGACAGGCTGGGTTCTTGTAACGCAGAAAAATAGCCTGTCGCGAAATGCTGTTGAAAGCATTCGCGATGTCGGCTTGCAGTACCAGGCTGTTTGGGTGACCGTCCACGTACGTTCGGGCGGCATGAATTATCGCTTCCGCCCCACCTGGCACTGCCACCCCGTACTGTAGGGGAAGGAAGTATCGCGTGCAGCATCGCCCATGACCGAGAGCGCAGCCTTGGCAGCCAGCCGCGTCAGGCATTCGCCGATTGCGATTGGTCGGGCACCTCCCCCGGGCTTGGCCGGCGCTATGAGTCGTGATGCTGTGAGCAGGTTTGCCACCGAGGCTGGGAGATTTCCCCCAAGAATTGTGTTAACCAAGGCGTGTAGATGGGTGTTGTCGGATGCATTGGTTACTGCCGCGTCGCGCAGGTGTTCAAGTGTTGTACCCGAAGGCCCGGCACCGACACCGTTCTCGTATCGCCCAAGCAGCTTCGCGAATTCTGCGTGCGAAATGTCCAGTGGTCGGGTGTCGGTTGCATGCCAAGTCAGCTGCTCATCCCCTGCCGGAGGATGCTTATGGCGCAGTTCGTCCAGGATTTTTGGACTCGGTGTGCAGACGGGTGTTGACTCGAGCGCCAACACGGCACGGCGCAGGCTGCCACGTTTCGCCAACCCCTCGGCTCGGCTCAGTACACCTGTCACATCGGGTCGGTGGCGTGGAGGCGGAGGGGTGTTGACCGCATTTACTGCGTCCTGGTAGAGCAGCGACCACTCGCCACGCTGGAAAGCCCGAAGACGGGCCTTGATTTTTGGCCAATTCGGGTGTTTTGGTGAAGCCTGGCGAAGGGTCAGTCGCGGGAGAAAAAGGAGCAGTCGCCAACCCGCGTCGGAATCTGGGTTTTTGCGAGAGGTGGTGTAGCGGGGTCAGGAGTGCCAGCGAAAATAACTGGCACAGATTTGGCGGTAATCGTCTTGACAGTGGCGGTTGGCGACTGTCGCAGAGGGCGGAAATATCCCAATTCGCGATGCCAGCGAACTTGTCGCTCATCTCTGCCAGCTCCTCTGGCGAAAAATAGCGGGGGAGTTGCGGGGTCGCTCCTGACACAGGGTGGAGTGGTGCGGCCCGATGTCTTCGGGCGCGGCTCGATCCCGTTAATTGCTGCCGGGTTGGATTCCCATCCGTTCGATCCGCATCCAATGGCCCTCCTTGCCTCCCCGTTTCTGTTGCGGGTAAATTGGATGTACTGGGTCCTCTCCCCCCTGTTCCTACCCTTGTTGCCTCTGCTCCATCCCCTTCTTCGTTTTCACTCTCTGGCTCCTCTTCCACGATATAAGAGGGGTCATTTCTCTCCCCGTCTTCATTAGCAGCTACTAGAGCTATTAAAGCCCTTCGTCCTGCAGCCTGGTACCCATTCTCTGGCCCTCCGCCTGTTCCGCTAACCACCTGTCTTCTTTCTCCCCATGCTCCTTGACCCCGCGATGGTGATTGCTGGTCCTCCCGAGCCGTCGCCAGAGCGCGTTGCCGCCTGGTCGGCAGTGGTCGCCAGGCCTCAGTCTGAGCCCGGAAAGGCGACCACGGCGACGAAGCCCCCGGTGCCTCCGGTTCTGAAGCCCTCGACAACATCCGTTGAAAAGCCTCCTCCCCCTAACCCGCGGCTCCCCTTGTTGCAGCTGCGCCTGGTTCATCCGCGACAGCTCCCGCTCCGTCTGCGGCCCCTGCTGCTGAGCCGTCCGCACCGGCTGCACCAACTGCTCCCCAGGCTCCCCATGTTGCCTTGGCAACGTTTGTCGCAGGGGTCCCGGCTCCCGCTCACGTTGGGCCACCTGCTGCCGGCCTCGGGCCGGAGACTTCTGCACCCGCCTCATCCCCGCAGGCGGCGTCCGCCACCACTGGCGGCCCGGCACAGTTGATTGCGCCCCTCGCTGTGGACCCGGCTGGCCCAGGCGCGCCGCTTGTGGCTCAGCAGGCGCAGCAGGCGCCGCCGTCTCGTCCCCCCTCACCGGACCGCCGTCTGTCTCGCCCCCATTCTCCAGCACCTCATCAGGATCGGGAGTCCTCCCGGCGCCGGCGCAATTCTCCTCGGCGCTATCAGCAAACTGGACAGTGGCAAGCGCATCGCGGCGGTCGGGGTGGCTGGTGGGGTCCTCGTGGTCGCGGGGGTGGAGGGGCGTTCGATCCGCCCGTGGCGGATCTGCAACGAGCGGTATCGACCGCGATGCGTGAGGAGAGGGCCGCTCTGACCCAAGGCAGCTCGCACGTTGCCGCCGTCTATCCTGCTCGACGTCAGGCGGCGCTTCCTGAGACACCGCTTCCTGCTGCACCGGTCCCTTCTCATGTTCCGGCCCCGTCGCCTCCCGCTGTTGCTGCGTCCGCTCCTGTCCCTGGGTCCCGGCTGCATCTGCCGCCCGTTCCGCCCGTGGAGGGAGTAGAATTTGTGGCTGCGGGAGGCGGAGCGGTGAGGGCTGGTGGCCTGGCTCCTCTTGCTGACGAGGAGCCTTTTCAGTTCCTTGCTCAGGCGCTGCAACCCCCTCAGGCCCGAGTTCCAGAGGCGACTCTCGCCCAGCTCTTCCGCCTCGAGGAGAGCTTTCACGCACTGCTCCTGATACAAGTTCTTGCTCATTCATCTCTCCCTACCGCCCCCCCCCCGAGACGTTCCTGGATCGTCATCGCGAGACTTGCCTGGACGCCGCCGATCAGCTTGCAGTGCTGCTGGCGCCCATGCTGGCTGCGCCCGCCGAGGGAGGCGTTGCGGCGGCGGGGCCGCTTGACGAAGCTGTCCGCGGCCTGCGGCGCCATTTGCGTGCAGGTTCTGGAGCCGCCGCGATCGGCGCAAGCACGCTTGTGGTCCGGGAGCTTTGGCGGACTCTGACGGGCGTTCTTCACGCCCTTGGAGCTCACCGCATGTAGACGCGGGCTCCTCTAGCTCCATGTTTTCTATGCTAGGTCATGCTGCCGTTGGGCGGCCCATGCTTGTAATGCTTCCGATTATAAGTCGCTCAGTGTGATGTTGCTTGCCGTCCGCTCATGCGCGGCCGAAGGCCGCGCCGTCGAGCGTCGGCCGCCGAAGGCGGCCAGCGCGAGCCGCTCGGCTAGGAGAGCAAACGAACCAAGAACTAAATAATCAGGCTCTAGGACTAGTACACCCCTTCGACTAAGGGGTCCGTGATGCCGACCCCCCCCAGCGATGGCGTCAGTGAAGCTTGAGCCCAAACGCGTGCTTGCTCGGTGCGGCAGGTGGGCACACGGATGCCGCACGATGTTAACAGCGTCGTTAGCAAATCCATCCCCCACTGGCTCCAGGTGTCGCGGTGCAGCAGGCTGAGTGGCGTCGTCCTGGTGAGGTATGCCACCCGCCTCGAGATACAGCGGGTGAGCAGGAGCGACGCCACCTGGGGGTCAGCTTTCTCCAGGAGCGGGAGGGGTTTCGCCATCTCCTGCAGCTGGCCTGACAGGAACTGCGCCGC